TACCCTGAATGTTGGCTTTTCCTAAAAATTTAATTTTTTAAAATTTCAAGCTAAAAACAAATCAAAAATGTATATATATATATTGTTCATACACATATAAGTTTCAGGGATAAAAAAATAGGCACTTTTATGACCATCTTCTTAGAAATTAACTGATCATTAAGGGGTTAAATGTCATAAATTAGGTTGGTGGTAAACTGTTTTAATATTTGTCATAATATTTATTTCAATAATATTTTCTTCACGTTATTAAAAATATTTGTTTAAATACCTTTCATCACTCAGATAAAACATTAAAAAAAAAAAAAACTTTTTTTTTGATTACCATAGTCTAACTTTTACCTGTTTCCAATTCTGACTTCTAAATTTCTTGTTTCCATAACCCTGATTAATTCACTTAAACATGCATTTTGGTATTTTAATTTTTTTTTCTTTGAAATTTACCCTGACATAAATTTTTTTGGAGAGTTTTTTGCAGCAGAATCTTGCCATGAAATCCAGTGCAAATTCCACAGGTTTTTGATAAGTGATAGCTTTACAGCAAGTGCTAATTGCACACAATAAATTGCATAGGGATGCAGAGTACAAAACACCATGTACCAGTGCTCAATGATACCGCAATTTATGTCACATTAGTTGCTATTCTATTCTAAATTCTTGTGATGTGCAGGGTATCTGCTAACCTGGAAATTCATGAGAAATCATGGAAAGTCATGAATTTTGGTATTGAACAAAATTTGTCATGAAATGTCTTGATTTTAACTATTTTTTTAAACAAATTAAGGAAAGTCGTGGATTTAGGTCGCCGAAAAATCTAATTTTTAAAATGGAATTTACTCCCCCCCCCCTTCCAATTTCATGGTGTTCCGAATATCTGAATTTGTAACAAAATCTCCACTCACAGTCACATTTTATTAAAATATAAAATGTTTTTATCGTGTTCTTATAAAATTATGGTGTTCTTTAAAATAATGAAAGAAAAAACATCATTTCTAGAGCAAATTATCTTTTAGATTTCTGTGATTTCAGAATTTTTGTTATTATTTTTATTTAATTTCAAAATGAGAACATAAAAATCAGGAGTATTTCTTTCCTTTCCGACGAACAAAAAAAGTATCTGGAATATAATTTGCAGAAAAGAAGGAAAAAAATTATTTGCTTTTGTATTTTTTTTCCAGCTATTTTATTGCTTGAACTCTTTCTTTACTCTGTTTTTTAAATTTAAAATCTATAAATATGAAGATGCAGAGTATAACAGTTTTGATTATGCCTATCATTTCAATTAATGTTATTATAATGCCTTTTTATATTTATTGTTGTGTTTTTGTCGGAGAAAATAGTAACTTCGTTAAGTCATAATAAATTCTTGGAATTAGTCATGGAAAGTTATTAATTTGAAAATCTTAAATGTAGCAGATACCATATAGGTATCATGTTAATATTTGTCAGTGTTAAATGCAAAATGATGTATGTATGCTCAAATAATTATAGGAGAGAAGCAGGCGGTGGTTTGAAATATCGAAGGGTCTGCAACACAGAATTGCTGTGGGTTTTTTGTCAGCAATCTTCTTCTTTTTGGAATGCTCTTATACCTTTTTCTAAGGAGATAACCAGCTTCACTTTAAACACTCAAAAGAGTAAGAAACATTTTTTATTATATTTTTGTAATGGCTGAAAATTTAACATTGTTATTGAATTTAAGGGGAAAAAAACTATTAAAGAGCTGCTAACTCTTCTGCATTGTGTGGAAGTTTCCTGCCTTCTACACTGAGATTAAAATCTTCTGTATTTTAAAATTGTGCGTTAAAATTTTGTACCATCTTTAAACTAAGTAGGAATGCACATACATGTGTGGGACTTGTCTCTCTTGCCTTGCAAGTATTTTAAAGAAATTTGAGAAATGATTATTAGTTTGATTTAAGGATCACTAACAAACATAGTTGTGGATAAATAGACTTCTTTGTAGCTAGTAATGGGATTAATAATTAAAACTTTAAAATATATACTAAAAGTTGCAAATCCAGCAAATTTAAAAAAAATCTAGCTCTACGCTATGCTTTTTGAAAAATAGGAGTTGGACGGTATACACTATATTAACAAAATAAAATTCTAAGTGACATTTTATTGAGTTTGCGTAGAAAGTAATGTTAAGTCTTTACACTGACATTAGGAAGTAAAGTTTATGCCTTACATTTATTTCCTGTCCTGTAGCTTCCAATTGACAAAATTTTTGTAAATTCCTAACATATGTTTTAACTATTCAGCTCACAGCCTTTATTCTCTTGGCATATTAATTTGCTACGATAAGATAAACTTTTAATGGTTCACTGTTAGTTGCCAAATACACTTGGAATTTCTTCAATTCTGTAAAAACTCTTAGATTGTCAATTAGTACCTTCTTCCTCTAAGATTTTCAAAATTTACAGATGACTAATTATGAATTAAATTAATGTTATACAGTTAGGTAAGACTTAATAAGTTCTTTCCCTAAAAAAATCTCAATTTCATTGAAAGTGTAGCTTAAAACTGTTCTTACACTAAGTTCTTCAATTGAAAGAAGAGTTGAATTTCGACTCTTGAAATAAGCTATATATTTTGATGCAATAAACTTTTCAAAGTTTTTTTTTTTTTTATGCTTAAACTTTTTTTCTATTTCAATCCTTAATTTTACTTAATTTAAAAAGCCTTAACGCTTTTATATAAAATATTATTTAATAGTTTAAATACTGAGTTATTGTCAAACATGAGGATGTTATATGCACTATGTTATGTGCTTTAAATGATCACTATTTATGCAAAAATACCTTTTTATTTTTAAAAATAACCTAGAATAATTATTGCATTTTAAGATGTCAGATTATTGTTAACAATAAACTTATAAAAATTTATTGGAATAGCAGTCATATCTAATCACTTTATTATGAAATATGAATAATGTGATTTAGACTATGTAAAAGTTACTAATCATTACATGATTAAGACTATTAATTTGCCGTGTGTAAGTAAACTGCATTTTGCTTCAAAAATATTTCATAAAATCATTAAAAAATGCTTTAGAATGTTTGCTAATTATTTTGAGGATGGATAAATATGTTTAAAGCACTTAATCTTTCTTTCTTTAACTTTTCTTCTTAACTTATCTTAACTTTTTTTCTTTGTTAAAATAATTGTGCTGTTTCAATTGTTGCATTTTAACATGCATTTTTCCTTTTTCTTAAATAAATTTTCACAAGTAAAATATAACATATCTAGTGTTTCATTATAGTGCAAATTAGTGAAACTAAAAAAATATTCCATTTTTAATATTTATTCTTAGATTTTATCCTTTGTGTTAATAGACTAAGCAGAGCATGTTTTTAATGGCTCATTTCGTCAAAATAAAGATTAACTGTATTCTGTATCATTTAGCATAAGGCTGTTGCTCAAGGTCAACTCATTGCAGTCAAAATTTACCACAATCCAGGGGTCACATTCCCCCTAAAATTCATAAAATTCCTAAAACTATGTGCAAACCCTAAAATTCCTAAAAATCTGATAAAATTTTGTTGGTGTTCCTAAAAAATTAGAGTTATAGGCTGAATATAAATAAAAAAGCAATAATCTAAAATATAAGAATTTAACTACATTAATTACAACTGTTTTAATTTTGCCGCATGGTAATTCTGATCCTGAGAGAGGTTTTTCGATAAATAAAGCAATGCTTAATGTGAGTCACCATGAGAATACTATTATGTCTCTTAGACTAATCAAAGATACCATTTGGCTAGCGTTAGCGAGCAGGGGGCGGAGCCTCCTAGTTCTTTCTATTTTGATAACTATAAAAATCTCTAAAATTCCCTATGCGTAAAGTATTTAGTGCATTATGCAACAATTATCATGAAATTTATATTTCGTAAAATCTATTGGATTTTTTCCTATCCATGTTGGCAGCTATAGTATCTATATTAAAGCTTCCTAGTATTGTTGCAGTCTACTGAACTATTTGAAAATTTGGAGCGAATTTTAGTATCGGGGGCTAAATTTGCCCTTGTGGCCACTTTCCAAATTTCAGGATGATACATTCAATCATTCTTGAGTTATGAGAGAGACAAACACTCAGACAGACAGGTAAACTCTTCCTTTTATTATTATAGATAATGCAAAGTATACCCCTTTTTAAAAGAACTCATACCTGCCAAGTCTCCTGTTTTGTAATGAAGACTCCTGTATTTTACGACTATCTCCAGTTTACCTGTATATTCTCGAATTTCCCCGTATTTATTGAAGAATTTTTAAAAAAAAAAATTTTTGATAAAATATCCATTGATGGCAAAAATACTTCTTTTATTCATCAACAGAGGGTGCTAATGCCAGTACTGCAGTATGTTGAGTGTTAATTGTTTAACTTGAGCCATGACGGCTCAAGGAATAGCACGTTCACCTTCTAATCAGGTAAACCCAGATTTCAATCCGAGCAATGACTGATTGATACGCATTCCACATCTGGCTGGCACTGACCACAGTTCTGACGTGAAATACCCTCAGTGGTAAACGGATCACGGATTAGATTCCCCTTCCCTGATGGGAGGTTCTCGTGGTCTTCCTCTCCATCTAACTCAAATGCGGGTTAATTGCACCAAAAATCCATCCATAAAGGCAAATTTCTCCCACTACTTGATCTGCGGGTTCCCTTGTCTTCTGGATTAGGTACAAAATTATAAGGCTACAAAGTTGAACATCACTAGTCGTTAACCCAAAATTGGGTCGATTAGTAAAATCTTTGTTGTTTTATTTCTCCAATGTTGGCAGGTATGAGAACTGTCTTAAAGACCTTCCTAACATATAAATATATTGCTTAAATTCAAACATGTATTACTTATTCCTTAACATGCAAATTTATTATTTAAACATATTTTTTTACATGAAGTGTTTTCTTTTTAAAGGATACAGAATTGAGCAATGGAGAAGTAGATCTATGTCATCCCTCACCGTTTTCCCCATTTTGGAGATGATTTCCTTTCTTGTGTATTATCAGTGCAGCATTTATTGAATAGTATCATCTAATTTTTGACTGGAGTGTTTTCACATTGTCTCAAGCAAGGAAAGTTCCAAACAATTATATTTCCCATCTAAAGAAAATCTATATTTCACATCCAAACTAATAATAGCATTAACAGTGTTCAGAAGATATTCCAAAATAATTGGCAATTCCTGTTTGAAAGTTGTTTTTTTTTTAAACTACGGGGAGGCCTATGCAAGTTGACCACTTTGGTACAACAATTTGATGTTCCACTTAGGCAAGTGACCTATTTATAAAATGGCAATTTAATTGTCTTTTTAACTATCTGAAAATTGATGGTGATAGATGACCAACATGCAAAAGTGGTTGACTCAACAGGTTTTCCAGTGTATTATATATATAGATATATAAAAAGAAAGAACGCAGAAATTAAAAAAAATGTCGGCTGCAGGTTTTCTGTCATTTAATCACACCATACAATAAAAGATCTTAATGCAAACCCTAGTAACTTGAGGCTTCGCATTATATAAATCATTTCACAATCCATTAAGTTTAACTTATTAAACCTTGCAATGTATATCTGCAATAGATAAATATTTAGGTGTTTATAAAATAATTTTATCTAGATTTAATTAAGTATAATAATACTCTTAGTTACGGAAAAAACTGAAATTATCAAGAGCATTCAGATTAACGACAAAAAAATTATCACTTTTGGTTTACTTTAGAAAATTGTTACCTCATAGTAAATATTTTTTCCCTTACAACCCAAGAACCGTTAATGGTTCTTGCTCAGCTCCAGAAATAACTTATGTTTTATTTTCATTGTTTATAACTATGGTTTATGGAGAAATGTGATTCATACAATTTTGTTATATAGATCTGCTACAATTGTTTAGTTCCTATTTTAAAAAGTTAGGGAAATATTTTAAAGACAGTATCAAAAAAATATTTATTTTACTTGATACAGTCTTGAAAGATTTTAAATAATTTGAAAGATTTTAAAGACTGTGTGTGTAAAAAAATATTTATTTTATGGATTATTTTTTAAACGCTTTATTTTCTTGACTTTAAAAAAAAAAATTGCCACTCTTTCTTCTTCTTTTTTTTATTATTATTATTTATTACAATATTTCTGCTATTTTCATAAGCTCTAATTGCTAATTTATTTTAATCAGTGCCTTTATTTTCTTAATTCAAACAATTTAGCAGTATAACATCAATAATAAGTTTTGCTTTGTATTTTAGTTTATTTGCAGAAAGTATTATGCCACTGAAAGATTGCCATTAAACTCTATATTCAATCTACTCCAATTAAAATGATCTCAATTATTACAGAAATATTGACCCTTTAACTATGTAAAAGCATTAATACAAGTTGGATTCCTAGTATTGATAAGAATTTTCTTAGTTTTTTCTTAAATTAAAGTAAAACGACTAGTAATGCTCTTAAGAATAGTAACACATAACTTTCCTATTTTGAAGTAAAGAAAGTGTCCTGAAATTTTCTATAAAAATAAGCAACTCTAAAGTAGATTTAGTTAAATGTTACTTTCAAGTAGTGAATATTTTTTAAAAAATAATCTTGCTTTAAGGAAAGAATAAGTGTTTTAATTGCTTATTTTTTTATGTGTTGAATTTTTTAAAACTTGAATGCATTTACCCATGTTCTCTCATTAGCATTTGTGGTACAAAAAAAAACTCTCGGTTTGTGCATTACGTAAGTAGATGGTATTTGATGAAATTTTATTATCAATGAAACAATTTTATTGCGAACTAATTTTTATTTGTTGAAGTTTATAAAATTTTATGCTAGCTGTGTGCATGTAATTATCACTCCATTGATAAATGTTTTACGATAACTTACACATATATGTGATACATTTTCAAGGTGTTGAAGTATCAATGTACATATATTGTTTCAAAATGCATTTTACAATTTCAGTAATCTTCTAAGTGATTAAGATAATTGGTTGGGTAACAATAGATATTACAACAAAGTGGGAAAGATCAGCTGTTTTTATTTTTATAAAAATTATTGTTTATACAAGTTTTCAGACGATATGTATAATCATTGATTAGTGGAATCAGTTGCTTATTGTCATACATTTTTCAAAAGCGGCTAAACATGTTACCATGGAATTTTTTTTTATTATTATCAAACTCATGTTTAAATCAAAACTATGTAGTCATATGGTACTCATATTTCTTTCAAAGTAGATATTATGCTAGTGGAATCAAAACCTTCAGGTATTTATACCATCACATTAACTAACAAGAAAAGAATTTTCTGTGTTTAAATTCCTGTTTAACTTTTATTTTATGTATAAATAGAAAACAAAATTTTACTAGAATTACTATCTGATTAGTGGAAGTTATTTTAAGATGAAATGTTTTTTTTTCTTCTTTAAATACATTTTAGCTTTAACTGGACATTTGTGCAAATTAATATAAGTATCAATTTAACTTCTTATCATTTCTTTAAATCATCTCAATATTTTTTTTTGTTTGACCTTAGAAAAGATATAATCACATAAATCACCGTTTATTACTATCACTCTCATTGTTTAATAAATCTTTTAACATTGCTGGCTGTTATTCGTTAAAATTAACTGCAATTTATTTATTTTAGTGTTTGAGAAGTTATAGCTTAAATTAAAATTTAGTTGAATATAAAAGTTTTTACTGCATTGTTACTTCGAAAAATCTCCTCTATGTTTATGTCTAACAATTGCTCTAATCAGTTATTAAATTGTTATATAGATTATACAGTTATTAATTGGTATATAACATCCCTGTATTTTATTCAAATTTATGTTTTAATATTTCATAAGCAGAGTAGAAAAAGGCAAATTGAATTTATTTTGGAATATCTTTCTATGTGTTTTACTCTAGTCATGTCTTTTTATAAAATCTCATTTTATTTTTTTAAGAAAAATTGTATTTTAGTAGATTGAAATGCGATTATAGTAACTATTTTGATTTTGTTTATTCTCTAAATTCAACTTGTTTATGTACCTTTGTATTTACATATTTTTGTTAACCGTTTTTCGAATGTGTTATGTTTCCCATTAGTATTTATTTTTAATCTTATTCAGATTTATTATTGTAGACTTGTCAATTACTAGTCATGAAAAAGTTATTGAAGTTGTATGTGTTATAATTAGGGTTGCAAGTTTGTCAGGGAGTGAATTTTCATGCTCATTTCCATGATTTATTTTTCTTAAATCCAGAAATTTTTTGAAGTGCTGTGATTAGCGTTACAATTTTTAAACAGAGAACTTTTTTCACCTTGGTATTCTAAATTCAACAACACTAATTCTAACAGCAATTACTACTTCTCCGCAGCTTTAAAGTTGGTAAATTTTTGTTGATAAAATGTTTAGGAAAATAGATCAATAGCAATTTAACATGAAAATAGTTCAGAGATAGTCCAAATATTATTAAGTAAGGTGGTCATACTATCTTTTCAATTATAAATTAATAAGAGCCTCCCAAATAGTGCACTAAGTATACAAAAGGAAGAAAAGGTTAAGTTAGCTCTTACTTTATCAGAAATTAATTGAAATGACAATTAACTGATTGGCCAGGACTGTGAAATTTATAAAAACTTTGCATTAAAAATCATATAGAAATGTTAGCAAACAAATATTTGATGAACGTAAAAACATATCAAGAATAATTTAAAATTTTGCGATATTTCTTTGAAATTCTGTTTATGGGAATAAATTTAATATTGCATAAAATTAAATTAAACAATTTGTCAGCTCTTTTACATGCTTATATTTGTGTTCACCAAAAATTTCTAAATTTTATGTGAAATTCTACAACAAACTTGCAACCCTAGTTATGACCAATTTAATAAAACACTTATAATTTTAATTTCCTTGTTAAATGATCAAAAGAAATTCATCTGTTTAAGAATTCATGAATTAATTTTTCAGCAAACTGGTTTTTAGTGTTTGTGTTTTGCATGTCATGTTGTTTTATTTGTTTATTATTTAAACAAAAGTTTAAAACTCATTATAAATTATTATCAAATATATTTAATTTATATGCAAAATACAGTAGAACCTCAATTATTCAACGCCTGATCACCTATTCAGTTATACTATACCTCTTTCAACCCTACACCGCATTGCATTCTAGCTGATGTATTACTTCTTTTTAGTCATTAAACTCCTCATTCAATTCTATCAAATTACTAAAGTGATGATTATTCTGAAAAACTGCTAAAAAATGACCCAAAAAAAAAATTTAGAATGTCTTCTTTTTCATGATATTGTGTCATAGGATTATTTTATTTATGTCAGAAAAATAAAACATGTGTAAGACAGACATAAGATTATTTAAAGCTTCTAAACTTTAGAAGGGAAAAAATGCTATATTAAATATTGATTTTTTTTAATAATACTCCTACATTATTTTGTTATTTTACTCTAATATATTATTTTATTCACCTCAATCCATATCTGCCAACTCTCCTGGATTTTGGCCAGTTTCTCCTGGTCTACTGGTTTAATAAAAATTCTCCTGGTTTTTGTGCATTTTTAGAAAATTCCCTAAAATTAAGTTTCCCAAAAGAAATACCCATTGAAATATAATGTTTTCACTGATTACTGCTTGATTGAATATTTAAATGCTTATCACTGATACATTATAAAGCGAGCCTCATCTATAAATATCAATTTAAAACTTTTTTTGTTCTAATTTTTTTTATTATTATTATTTATTCAGAACTCCCTTTTTGAATTAAAAGACTTTTAACTATCTTTGATGAATTGAAATGCCTTTAAAATTATGTGTAAACATAATACATAGCATTTCAAGTTTATTTAGTGACAATCCTAGCTGGAAAATATTGCAGTTTTTCTAATTTGATGATGTTGAAAATATGTAAAGTATTTAGTACCTAATGCAACAATTATCATGAAATTTATATTATTTCGTAAAATCTACTGGATTTTTTTCTATCCATGTTGACAGCTCTGTTAATTGTGATTTATTTAAGAAGCTTTTGGTAGGCTCTCAAAATGTAGATATAGTAAAACTTAAAACAAGTATCTAAATAATTTAAATGTTTGCTTTTTGTGACAAATTGCTTCATACACTTTTTTGTGTGCATTATTTGAATTTCAAACTTTTTGTTTTTTTAATACTCGCATGGCTATAAGGGCTTCTATTAAACTTTATTATTGTTGAAAATTGCTTTGAGTAATTTTACTGACACTTATAAAATTGACATAGAAAGGATCCCCCATGATTTCAATTTTCCAGCTCACCCCCCTGGTCCCCTGGGCTTTGTATAATGAGGGTTCTATTGTAATAATTTTTAGCACTGCATTTTGAAGTGTCTTCCCATTATATTTCAAAAGTTATTATATTTTTGCCAAAAATATATAAAAATATTTTTTGTTGTTATTTACTGGCTGTTAAGTTTTATTAAAATAACTGTTCCTAATCTGATTCTAATTTAATAGTGAAATTTAGGAGTTAAATAGTTTAAATAAAGTATATTGTTTTAAAAATTATTCTATTAAGGCTATCATGATAAACAGTGTTTATAAGATGCCTAATTTCTAAAGTTTTCCAATTAGTTAATTTTAAATGTAGCTTTTAAAGAGACCCTTAGTAGGGAAGGAAAATTTACTTCAACTTTCCTTTTTTTTTTTAAATATTACTCTAAAATTAATGAAAAAGAAATATTTTTTATTCATTCTGATTTAAAACTGATCAATTTTTAGTCTTAATACAGTCGTAAGTCATTTTAATTAAGCATTAACAAATGAATGTGTGGTGAAAAATTGTGCACTTAATTTTTGAAGATAATGATTGTAAGAGTCTGTTTGATAACAGTTGCTAAAAACTTGTTATATGTTTTGTTCTTTTGCAAACATCTTTATCACATG